AGGAGCTGCCAAAAACAACAGGTCAGCTGCCCTGAAGGCAGAAGCAGGACACTGAGAAATGTTTCCCAGAGACATGCTGGTCCCTGCCAGGATGGGGCAATGGCCATAGGAGCACTCCAGCGCTGGCCAGGCAGATGCCAGGGAAAGTCCATATGCCAGGAGGAGGATGTAGCAAACCTGGAGGGAGGGATCTAAGTCCAGGAGCACCCTCTTTGAGCAAAGGGTTGGGCTTTTTTGGCTGCCAGGCTCTTTTGCCAAGGGTGGCACCCTGGCCCCAGCTCACCATTCTCAATGATGTATTTGACGATGTCCTTGCTCCCTGATTTGACAGCATGGTGGAGGACGGTCTGGCCCGAGGAGTCTCGCACCATCAGGTCTCTTCCAGCTCGGTGCAGCTCCTGGAACTGCAGGATTACCAGATTGCTCTGGATGAGTTGCCTTTCCCAACTCCAAGTTCCAAGCCCCAAGCCTCAGCATCACATCCCCAAGGGTGCACAGCAGGCTGTGTGGATATTTGGGGCCTGGCAGGGAGCTTTGTCCAGCTCAGCCACACTGTCAAGTCCCTTCCTTTTGTGTCCCCCCAGCTTCTTGCCAGGAGCCTGCCTAGTTCCAGCCACTGCTCCTGGAGGAAGGCCCTTGACAGGAGCTGCTCCTGGGCAACCATGGAGCGTGGTGGGCAGGGTGTCCCACGGCCTGAGGGCCACACCAGCTAAGCAGACTGTGGGAAGACTGCCCAGAGCCAGCCCTGGCTGCTCATCACAGCAAGCAGCAGGACCACCTACCTTGCTGAAGTCGCCGCTTTTGGCAGCTTCTATCAGAAGGTTATCTACAAAGAAGGGAGATGGGTTGGGGTCAGAAAAGCCAAGCTGTAATGCCTTTCATCTAACCCTGGAGCCAAGGATTGGGCACTGGAAGCTCAGAGAAGTCAGCTGGATTGGGCACTGGAAGCTCCGGCAGTCAGCTGGAGCTCCTCTAGGTGCCAACCCCTTGGTAAGAATGGTTCTACATGGTTCCTCCACCTTCAGGCATGTAAAGGACAAGCCAGGGAGGGAGACACGAGGTAGCTGGGGGCACAGCCAGACCTCAGCCCCAGGGAGGTGCGTGTGCAGGGGTAGCAGCCTCTGCCCGTGGGCAGGATGACTTACGATGGAAGCGGGGAGCAGATCCCTGGGCGTCAGCCAGCGGCCGAGACGCCTCTCACCCATGACTCACTCACACTTCCCCACTCAGGCTCCAGGAAACTCTTTCCATTTGCTCAGCTTGGTGAGGCCCCTGACCTTGTGCTCCCACCTCCTGAGCTCCCCAGCCCCCCAACCCAGTCCAGAGCACTCAGCTCTGCAGGTGGGGGATTAACCCCTCGGCCACGCCATTTCCCGCACCGCGGAGTCGGGAAGGCGCCACTCCACAAATCACTGTCAGGTCTCTCCTGCCCACCTCTGGGGTCACCCGCCCATGGGGCTCTGCACTCCCACCCAGCACACAGACAGCAGGGCTCCTGCCTGCACCTCAGGGAAAAGACAGGGCAAAAAAAAAAACAAGGCAGGGACCCAAACCAGGGTGACCTGTGAGGGGGTGGGACGGGGGGTGGGACAGGACTCACCTTTGTGCGGGAGGCAGCGCTCAGGTTCAGCGCTGGAAGGGAAGAAGAAAAGGTGAAACTAACCCTGCCAGTCCTGGCAGCAGGTCACCCAAAAGGGCACGCTGTGGGTAGAGGGATGGCTGTGGAGAAGCCTGCCCGTGGCACTTCTCCAGCAGGCAGGAGGAGCAGAGGCAGGCCAAGGGATTGGCTGCTCCTTGGCCATGCCATCTGCTTCTTCCCCATCCCCCCTCCCATTTCTACTGCTGCTCCCAGCTCTGTTGCTCACCCATACCCAAAGCTTGATTCAGTTAGGCCAAAAGACACCCATGCCCTTTGCCCCGTGGGCCAGGTGCTGGAGCTTGACCCTATGGCTGAGCTACCTGGTGATGCCTCACTGCTTCCAGCAGTGCTGGCAGAGGAGACAGGGAGACAGGATGGCATCTCCCACCTTGGTCTAACTCAGCACTGAATTCCTGCTCGCTTCCAAGGAGCCTCCATGTAATCTGGTCCATGGATCAATGCTGTGAAGCCAACCCTGCCTCTCCCATCACTGCCCAGTCTTCCTGAGGTCCAGCACACCCATTCCAGACTCACCTGGGGGCAGGAGAGGAAGGTGGAGAGGAGGAAGAGGAGGGGAATGCAAAATGGTGCCCAGTGGGTGTAGCAGACAAGTCGACAAGGTCAGGCATGGCAGGAGAGGTGCTCACAGTCTGGGTGATCACCAGCTCTGGGTCCAGCACATACAGCTCATCCTGAGAGATCTCTGTCACATAGTTGAGATGCTCCTGAAAGACACAAGTCAGCCTTCCTCAGAAGCAAGACCTACTTCTGTATAGCTCCATCCCCTCACATTACATGACTTGTAGCCCACCCAGTTGCTCAGCAGAGTGATGGTGGCTTAAAGTCCTGGGACATGTGCCTGGGAAGCCTCTGTGTCTCCTTGTCCTTTTCAGGCTTCCCATCTCCTGCTAACTTAGCAGATGACCCATACATGACCTCATCTCTATGTCCCTCTTGTTAAGACAATCCCAGTCAGTGGGCACCTGGCCACCCTTGCTACGTTGCTATTCCTTACCTCCTCCGCTGTAGGGAAGCAGGCAGCTTCCAGACCAAGTCTCTGTGCTCCCACCCACACTTCCTCCCTTTCCATGGGAACCTGGAGGTGCTGGGGCTGGTCCTGGGCTAGACCCATCACACCACGCCTCAGGGGATGCCACAGCAGTGCGAGACCTGCACGTCCCCAAGGCCAAGCTTGTCTGTCGGTCCGTGTGAACGCAGGACACCCAAGCACCTTCCCAGCAGATGCTGGGGGGACGACAGCAGAGGACAAGGCCACACTCACCTGCGCACGGTCTATCCTGTAGAACCGATCAGCTGTGGTTGCTGTAAGACAGGGACAAGAGAGAGACAGGGTCATCCTTGGCATGGGATGAGGAAGATGGCCACTTTCCACTGCTGAGCAATAGTGAACTATCCAGCCACTTTGTGGCTTGCAGGGAGGGCACAGCAAAGTGACCAGGAGCAGCCCTTCCCTTAGGGACCCTGCTGTTCTCCTTACCCTAGAGGCAGCCAGACCACCATGCCCCTTTGCTCACTATCTCCTCCTCAATGACTCCTGTCAGGGAAGGTACAACACACTTAGCTGATGCTGTGACCCTTCTGGGGGCTTGTGAGTGCTCCAGCCTTGCAGCTGCAATGGAGCAGCAGCCCGAGCAGATGAAGCTCAGGGTTGTGCAGTGCATGTCTCAGCACTCGCTTGGACCAGGTGAGGAACGTTTTCGATTCAATATGATGCACCTCGTTGCAGAGCACTGAGAAATGGGGGCACTAAGCAGGGCTGGGAGGAGAGGGAGCTCAGCTTTCTGTTGACTTGACTGAGTAACATCCTGTAGACAAGGTCACATCAGAGTGTGTGACTGCCAGGTACAATGGAGCATGCCACCACCAGCTGTAGATCCAAGTCACTGTCTCCTAGGACAGCAGGAGAGCTTCAGACCAGTCTCCAGCCTGTTGTTGGTAGCAGCCTGTCTGTGTGCATCCCACTGTTCAACCTTCAGAGGAGAAGATCAGAGGAGAGATGCCAACAGTGGGAGAGGGACTCCTTCAACACCAGTGGAGCAAGTGGCCATGCTGGAGCCAGACCCACATGGCCACCACCCCTGGGGAGAGCAGGACAAGCAAGAGCACAGTGCCAGGACAGTTGGGTCCTCATGCAGGTGGCACTTTCCCTATGTTCCACCAGGCTGCTGGTGCCTGCCCAGGCCAAGCTGCTGCAGTGGGACCCTTGGGGACGTGGGGAAATCTCTCCTCAAAGAGAGCAAGGACAGGCCAGAGCAGGTGAGAGGTGTGAAAGCGCCCCATTTATCCTGTCCTGGCTGGAGATTTACAGCCAGGCAGCTGCTGCTGAAGGTCTGTAATTCAGCTGCTTGAATGAGCCTGCGCTGTCTCGAATGAGGTTCTGGCCTCTTTCCTGACACCTTTTCCTGAGCTCAGAACCTGCTGCCAGGAGACTGGCAGGAGGAGGGAAAGTGCTCCTGGTACAGCAGTCCTGGTAGTGACACCTGGAACCTCGAAGGGAGAAGCTGCATCCTTTTTGCCTAGCACCAGGATTCCCAGGCTCACTTGGCAACCCACAGCTATGCTCTGCTGGGCTCTATGCCCTGCTACTGGGAAGTCAGGGAGATGAAGTGCCACCAGCAGTCATTACTCTCTGCCAGCTTCCAGGTACAGAGGATGAGCTCTGAAGCCTCTTGGTCAGTGAAAGCAAAGGGAGAGGAAGAAGCTACTTTCAGGCAGGGAAGAAGAAGGAACCTGCTCCCACATCACTGGGATGTTCATGGTGTGCTGGAGCAGGGGGGCCCCCTGCCTGCATGACACAGGAGAGCAACCCCAGCAGTCCCACAGTGATGGGACACAGCCTGCCAAGCTGCCTTCAGCTCTGAGGGTAGAACACCAGCAGACACTCCACTCGTGGTCAGCAGCCAGAGAGACACAACCTGGAGCAAAGCACGGCTGCACTCGGCCACAAAAACCCCAATATCCATGAGTCCCAAGTCCTGTGGGGCTCGCAGTGGCTTGTCATTAAGGGTCTGTCCCCTCACTCCCCCAAATTCAGACACAGTCAGCACTCCCAGGGGATGATGATACTCACAGTCCAAGAAGCACCACTTGGGTGACAGCTTCTGGGATGACAGTGTCTTCGGTTTGGCTCCATCTCCCTCCTGCATAAAAAAAAGAGAGGATAAAGTCATGTCTCTTGGCCTCCTCATCTCTCCCCTGAGCATCCCTCCTGCTTTGGGAGGTCCCTGCAGGTATGGAGGACCACAGGCACTTGGATGGAGAGGGGAACTTGAACACAGGCACAGCACACAGTGACAGGGAGCAGCATGGGACAGACTGGAGCCAACACACACTAGCTCACTGGAGAGAGATGTGCCACAAAACAAGCCCACGAGACCGGCACGGTGCACAGGACAGATGAGCCCGAGGGACAGAGCGAGGCCATACACACCTGAAAGGGCAGGCTCTCTAAAGCACAGGGCTGTGGAGAGAAATCCTGCAGAAAGGCAAGGATGTGCTGTTACAGCCTTTGTCTGGGCAGCCCCCCAGCCCCTCTCTTGTCCCATTGGTGTTGCTTAATGTGCTGCCATATCTGCCTTTACACACAGCCTGGCCAAGGTCCCTGGTCCCTGCCCTGCTTTGAGGCCAGAGCATGATGGTTGCCCAAGAAGAGAGAAGAGGTAAACCCCAAGGTGACTGAGGAATATCAGCCTCAATGCACAGTTTTAGAGGTGCAGGAGGTTGCAGAGGCATCAGTCTACCAGGCTGACACCACAGGAAGATGTTAGCCTCAGCCTGGGAGCTGGTAGCCATGTGCCTCTCTGTGTGTCCTCATCAGTACACCAGCCCAGGCAAGCAGCTCTGCAACTCAGCCCTGCAGGACACTGCTGGATGGGATTCCCTCAGGCACAAGAACCAGCTAACTGGGGACCAAGCAAGGTCCCTTCAGTTTTCTGAGAGAAAATCAGACAGCAGTGCGGCACCAGGAAGCACACTGTGGGCTCAGGAGGCATTGCTCACCAGGAGCAAGAGTTACAAAGCCCATGACAAGGTTGTGAACATGCACTAGCACATTGGCAGGAGCACCATAAGAGACTTGGAGGGGGGAGCAACCCTAAACCAGGTGACCTGGGAGGGGCAGAGCTGTGCCAGGAAACACGGAGCTGGCAGAGGGCTGAAGGAACACAGCACAGCAAACTAAGGGACAGAGGAAAGACTCTCCAAGCACCCAGGGGGTGAGAGGTCCCCATAGGATGTATGCTGGCTTTTTCCACTGCCCCATCATTTTTCTGGGCCACTGACACCTGGAGAACAAGGTGAGAAGATCAATGCTGAGAAAGCAGCTGCCAGAAAGCAGGGAGCAATAAGCCGTCCAGCTTGCGATCCTGCCTCCACCATGGGGTGAAGATAACCTGTGACCTGCTACCAGAAGCAGGAGCGTGTGTATTGGTGCATGCAGGTCAAGGAGGCTTACAAGTCCCTTCCCTGAGCCCCTCCATCCTCGGCATCCAGCCGTGACCACTTCCCATGCAAAGCCTCACCTCCTGCAGCCTCTCAATTTGGGTCCGGCACAACTCCAGGTCGCTGTCTCCTGGAACCACAATGATCCCCAGCGGCACAGCTGCACGACAGGGCACAGACACAACTCAGGGAGCAGCCCGTGCCCCATCCCCAGCACCTCACACAGCCGAGCCTAGGGCACTGCTGGGCTCAGGGACTGAGGCTCCCACCCCCGTGTCACTCAGCTGGTCACTCACAGGCTTCCTTGAGCTTTTCCTTGTCATAGTGCAGTGCCTCGTAGTCCCGCATGCTGATTCGGCTCACCCGGATCCGCAGCCGCTCAGGCACCGGCTGCTGGCTACGTGCAGGGGGAAGGAAAAGGGAAGAGGATCAGAAAGTGACAGCCCACTTTCTTCTTATCCCACCCACCCCTCCAAAACAGGCAAGAGCACAGATTGGGGTGGGGAGCTTGGCACTAGCAGCTTCTCCAGCATCAGTGTCTGGCCATACTTCTGTGACCTGGCCCCTTCCCAGGCCCTTCTTGAGAGAGAATCAAAAAGCCTCTGGGAGCGATGGATCAGTGCCATCCCTTCCCCCGCCATTCCTTCTGCTTTGGAGAGGAGGAAGCAGATTGATCTGAGGAACCTACTCATTGAGCAGAGGCATGGAGTTGCGCCGCTTGGTCTTCTGCACCATGTTGGCTTGGTTGCGGAGGGAGATGTGGATGCAGGAAGCCGCCAGCTTGCAGGGCTCTCCGTCAACCTGCATGGGGATGGCCTTGGACGTGGTGAGAACCACCTGTCGGCACTGGCACAGCCGTTCCCCGTGGCCTCCGACCTGCAAGGCAGCCTGTGAAAGGGCCCAGAGTGAGAGCACAGCAGAGACTGAGGGGTGGATGGGGGGAAGCACCCACTGTCAGACAGATGCTGCAAGTAAACCAAGTTCTGGAAGGGATCCAGAGAGACCAGGGCATGACAGCACCTCGCCTAAATCTCAAAGAGCAGACACTGTCACGCAGGCCAGCACTCCAGTTCCTCAGGAGGGAAGCTGGTAGGCTGGCCAACACCTGGTCAATGGGACCAGTCTCTCCCCTCATTGCTAGCTACAACTGGCAACAGCACTGACTCACCAGGGATGTCATGGTGAAGCCAATAACTTCAATGCAGCCATCATCGTGTCGCTGTGGTTCAAAGTCATGGTGCTCTCCAGGGTTGCCCCAGGGCATGGTGCCTGCACAGTACCTGTGAAGGGATGCCAAGGGATGCATGGACAAGCCCCTTGAAACTCGGACAGGGATATGTGGCATGGGGATGAGGAGCTCAGCACATAAGGGCAGGTCTTGGGGCTGCTCACCTGGGGATGTTCAGGAAGACCAGGCACTGGGGCTTCAGGTCCTGGATCTTGGAGGTCAGGTCCATCCCATCACACTGGAGACAACACAGGGGTGGTCAGGCTGCTGTAAGGGGGGGCTTGGCCCACCCTACCCACCTGGGAGGAAACAACCTCCCTCTCTGCATCCTGTGGTGACTGTCCTCCAAGCCAGATGAAGCCAGTGTCCCCAGGAATACATCCTCTCCCCAATCCTGAGATACTCAGTGTGCCAAGGGACTGTTCCTCACCCCTTGGCAGCTCAACCCCCTCCCTGCCCCAGAGCATCCCTGCACACTCACAACCAACTTGACGTGCTTCGCTAAGTCTTTGGAGCTGCCCGTGAGGAAGTCGGAGAAAGCCGTCTGCCAAAGCAAGAGACAGCGTTAGCACCCACACGTTCACTGAAATGGTCAGCCAGGGAGCCTGCCACCAACCTTCAGCAAATCCTTTCCTTCTCCATTGGCAGAAGCCCTCTCTTCTCCCCTCCTAAAGCAACCTGATGCATTCCTCTGAACATTTTGCCTACCAAAAACCTCAGGGCATCTTTAGTAACACCCCCCCAATATTCCCTTGCCAGACTATTCTCAACTTTAGGAAAGAGCTGGCAAGGTGGGTCTCAGAGACTTGAGTCGCAAAAGACAAATTCAGTCTCAGGTTGCAATGAAACAAACCCAATGTGACCTCATGTAAAGACACCAGGAGAGACAGTATGGCCTCTGTTACACAGATCCTAGGGTCCCCTTTGGGTTTAACTGCACGGATAGGAGGGAAGACACAAACAGGAGAGATGTGAGATGGTACAGAGTAGCACTTGGCCTTTAGTACTGCTCAAATACTGGTCACCCAGCCACATGGGTAGGGAGGTACATTGAGGAGGGGAAGATGGACAAACAAAGACAACACTGAGACACAAAGCTCTAGAGGTGAGATAGAAGAGGGTGGCATAATTAACCAGGGAGCTGTAACTGGCCCAAGGTATAAAATAAAAGACCAAAGCAGTGTGGGGACTCTATGGAAAGGCTTCCCGTTCCTCGGCAAGGGGGACAACCCGCCTCCCCACAGCTCTGGGGAGGTCCTGCCTGGGTGACCGTCCATGAGTCAGAGAACAAGAACAATAGTGGCAGGAGATCAAAACAGCAACTGTACCACAGGCCAGAGAGCAAGCTGTACCGCCAGCAGCCAAAGAGGAGCTGCGGCTCCCTGGGCTGAGACTTTCTCCAGCGCCTCTCCAGCTTTGGGGGGGATGAGCTTGGGTGCACTTGAAGGCCTGTGTAACTCAGATGAGTGAGTTGAGGGTGCAGGCAGGAGCAGGGGCCATGTCTGTGCTCCAGCTGATGCTAAAAGGCTGCTATGAAGGCTGCCCAGATATCCTCCACACACTCACCCCAGCATAGAACATTTTATTCCGAAACCGGCTGTTGAACTTCTCTGGGTTGGCCTCTAGGGAAAAGAGAAAAAAGCCCAGGTCACTGGCCTGCACATGGAAACACTTCACTCGCCAGCTCTCCCCAGACACAGCTCTCCAGCCAGCCTCGGCCAGGAGGCAGCCCCCAGCTCTCTTCCCGTGCAGGCACCCCTCTTCCCTCTCTGCAGCCTCCACAGGTTTCACCACCAGCCCTGTCCCTGGGAAAATCCTCTTGTTCACTTTCCCAAGAAGCATTTTACAGGCCCACTTCTGGGGCACCCCATCACCACAAACCCTGTCCCAGCCCTGCCACCCCACCGTACCTCGGGATTCGTGGAACTCCAACGTCACCCGTGCATCAAAGCCAAGGCTGAAATAGTTATTAAAGACATCCAAGGGGAGCTGAAATGGAAAGGAGGAACAAAGATGAGGCTGCCAGTGTGTGGCCACAGCAAAGCCAAAGACTATAGCAGAGCCATGCACCATGTTCATGAGGCTGAGGGAGCGAAGGCTTGCCTTCCCTCCAGGAAAATACAGAGGCCATTAGCCTGAGATGACAGACCTCAGCCCTAGGGGTGAGGATATGACCCAAGGGGACACACTCTGCTCTCCAAGATACCTGCTAAGATACCATGTTTCTGCTAAAGAAACAGTCTCAGAGGGGACTGGGTTTATATCTGTTTCAAGCTGTGGTTAAAAACCTCTGGTGGACACTTAGTCCTGATCTCTACACGCCTCACCATGAGTGCCATGGGTCGGAGCCATGAGGAAACAAGTGGAATTGGAGCAGGGAAATGCCAGTCCAACACCATAGCCCCAGGTGCTGGGGCTGCCTGAGCCAGTGGGAGAAGGAGAACGCAGACCCCTAGCACAGGGAACAAATGTGGAGAGGATGTCCCACCTTGTCAGCAGCTGCCTCATCCTTTTCCTCAGGATTTGCTTCAGGGTTTGGCTCCACATGGAGGTTCCAGCGATCGAGCTGCACAATGTTCCCATCTTCCACATGCGACAGGATCTTGGACAGAGGCTCATCTGTGTAACCCTGGTGAAGAGCAAGACTCGATCTCTTACCTCTCTCCTGCAGAGATCTCATCTTCTTTGGGAAGACATCCCAGAGCAAAGGTTGTGGAAAAGATCAATTCTACTTGAATGCTCAATGTAGTGGGACTTTAAATTTAAAAGCAATATATCTTCCTTCTAAAAATCTCCCAAAGTTTAAAATAATGATTGCTCTTGTTAATGTCCTATTATAAACTAATTCAGAATAATCTAAAAGTCAGAAGAACAGTAACATGCAAACTGCACTCATTTGTTGGTCTGTAGTTAGGGAAAGTCAAAAGAACCAGGCAGGGCAAATCCCCATTCATATGTCTGGAACTGGAGCTGAAGTGCTCAGCCCAGCCCTGTCACCAGTCAGCTCTTCTGCCCATCACTTACCCCACCCCAGTTCAGCGTCCTGGCCAAGTCATTTCCTGTCCCCAGAGGTAAGATGGCTACAGGAGGAGGTGGGTTGAGGCGTAACTGGTCCAGAATGGAGAGTATCCAGCCCACCTGCTCAAGCAAGAGAGCACAAAGAAACAGTTGGTTATTTCAGGGACCAGCAGGCAGGTGGAGGTGACTTGGAGCACTAGTGATGGCAGAGGGACAGAGATGGTGGCCATTAGCCAATGCCAAGGCTATTCACAGTCTTTAATGCTCCAAAGGGGTGCTGTGGGAGATACCAGTAATCCCAGTGAGGACACTGGTCCCCCAAAGGGTGACAAATGCAGACATGCCACAGACTATCACTCCCTGGAGCAGTGCATGAAAGGACCCATGGTATCCAGTGCCACCAGCTGGACCGTGGACACAATGGGCACATTTTGCCCCATTCTGGATTAGAGAGAAGAGGGTGTCACTGGAAAGGCCTGGAGTGAAGGGTACTGCAGGCACGAAGGGGCCAGGGGACTCACCGTGCCATCTCCCCCGCACGCCAGGATCCGGAGGTTGTGGACCTTGCGGTACAGCTCCAGCCTGCAGGGAACAGAGAGGGTAAGGAGGGGGGGGAAGAGGCACCGAAGGTGTCACACAGCAGCTGCAGGGCTCCCTGCCCTCGCAGAGCCTGTGGCATTCACAAAGCCACCCGTGTGTCTCCCTCCCCATCACCACAGCAGTTCACAGCAGTGGGCAAAGCCACAGTAACTTTGGCTTCACCAGCTTTTGCGGAGGAGGAGCAGGGTGTCCACAGTCCACGTACATGCAGATAAGCCAAAACACAGCAAGCAGACAAGACTCACGTGACATTACTGGAACATAAAGAACTAGATTTGGGAATGTCATCCCACAGGTGGTGTCTTTGCCACTAGCCTTACGATTAGACCAGCCCTCCCTGACCACAAGGTATTCTAGAGAGGCCTCTCAAAGTAATGAACTTGTTGGGGTTCTCTTTGCACAAGGGAGCTATGGAGCATCAGACCTCTGGCAGCTGTGGGAAAAGCTCTGAAGAGGAATCTCTGGGGCAGGGAAGGGGGGAAGAGAAGGGTGCTGCCCCCATCAGTACTCACGCCTCCTTGGGTCCACCCTGGCTGAGGTCAAACACTTGCCGTGGGTTGAGATACCACATGAAGGACTGGATGATCTTGGCTCCCTGTGAGGACAAAAAAGACTTCAGCAGAGAACAGGGAGTTTCCAGTGGATAGGGGAAGAATGTATCTGGTCCTGAAGACAGGTCAAGACAATGGTGTTCAGGGGGGACTGAGGCAAAGCCTGACTTAGGTGGGAAATGCCAGGCTACAAACTGGCATTGCAGGGGTTGCCTTGCATCTTCTGCAGCTGAGACATCACCAAAACCATGCTGAGTCCTCAGCAGCCAAATGGCAATGCCCTCACAGAGCTGCCTTCTCAGGGAGACATAGGACATGGCCATACCTGATTCCCACCACTCTTGGGGTTCACAAACACCAGCAAGGGCTTCATGAGAGGAGCTGGCAATGGCTTGATGACAAAGGGTTTCCACCTCCCTTCCTGCAAGAGACACCACAGGTCCTTCAACAAACCCAGGGAAATGCAAAATCCCACCTGCAGCTGAGCCCTAACATCACACGTGGTCAGGAGTGGGAGGAAGAGAACACCCCAGCCACCCTGTAAGCCTTACAGCTGGGATTTGCCCTGCCAGCAGGCATTCTCCCTCCACCTCACCCTCCTTAAACTCAGCACAGACCCTGCAAAGCCCCCTTGTTTCCTGACCCTGCTCCTTACTGCCCAGCTCCTGCGTCCTTCCAAGACAAGGTCATTCCCTGTCCCCTCATCTCTTACCTCAGCCCCCTTTTTGCTGGATTTCCGCTTGAACGATGTCCTCTTCTTCTTCTTACTAGATTTCAGTGGATTCTAGAGAGAAAAGAAACAAACAGCAAAACTCCTTGAAGAGCTGCTATGCAAGCAAGAGTTGTGAAAGAGCCATGAGAGCTCAGGTGAGTTACCTGTGGCCGCCGGACCCGCAGAATCCAGGTGGGAGGAACGACGACAGCAGCATGAGCTCCCAGCGAGCAGGGCTCTTCGATGTGTTGCAGCATGAAACATGAGACTTTACTGTGATACTGGGGAAGGAGAAGAGGAGAGACAAGAGAGAAAACTCAGCTGCTTGGTTTGCTGGGGACAGCCACCTTCTCCTCGCCCCAGCTCCCCCCACGCCAGCACAGGGAGTGCTGGAGGAAACCACACAGGAATTTTGTAATGGGAAGGCAATGAAGAGAAAGTTACTTGTAGGAGCTCCCAGCTACCACAGTACAGCCTCTCCCAGTAAGAGCTGCTGTTAAGGGCAGGCTGCAGAGAGGCAGCGTGGGGAGTCCCAGCAGAAAGCAGAGGTCATCAGATGCAGAGTAGGATGGTAAGATCACAGAATCACAGAATAGTGGGGGTTGGAAGGGACCTCTGGAGATCATCCAGTCCAACCCCCCTGCC